GATCCGTTTGTCCATCATTCGCAATAGGATGGGATACGGAGTTGGCGAACGGACAGAATTCGGAGGAATACGGAATAATGTGCTGGGGTTTTCTGAAAACGGGTCGCGTGCGGTCCGTATGCGGTTCCTATTTCAACCGCGCCCGAACGCTGAGCGTCCGTAACGGATTGTTCGCGAATCACCTGTGCAAAAGACGAATAACATTTAAATATAGCCAAAAAAGTCAATAACTCCTTCAGAAACTCACTCCAAAAATGAGAAATTAGTACTGTAGTCACTTTTATAGCTCATAAATTTTTTCACAAGGCCGGGGTGGAAAAACTGACTTCAGCTTTGTAATCAGCGTGCCCAAAAGAACCAATGACAATAGTTTGAGCAAAATCAAAAATATGCGGTTTGTCTAGAATCTTCAATGGATTACTATCCTTTGAAAATTGTGGAAAAATAGATGAAAACAAAAAGTTTCGAAAATAATAGGAAAAACTGTTAGTATATGGAAAATAATAGGAAAAACTGTTAGTATATCCAAGTATATGGAACCATATAGGATCACCTAGAAGTCAGATACAATCACCGGAAAAAAACGAAGAAAAAATTCAAAAATACTGTAAACGTGCCTCTCAAAAATATATCTCAAAAATACGTCAACGCATAAAAAATGCATCAAAGCTCAAAAAAAGCGTCAAGGCACCAAAAATACGTCAGTGAACCAAAAAAGCGTCAAAGATCCAAAAATGCGTCAAGACACTGAAATTGCGTCTATGCACCAAAAATGCGTCAAGTCACCGGAAACGCATAAAAGCACAAAAAATGCGTCCAGGCAAGGAAAACTGAACCGAAACAAAAAACGCCAATGCAACAAACATGCGTCAATGCACCGAAAATGTTCCAAGGCACAAAAAGCGCGTCAATGCACCAAAAATTCGTCACGTAAAAATTCGGAAATAACCAACTCAAACTAACCTGCTTCAAACTCAGAATGTCGTCTCGAGAAACTCTAACACGCCGCATTAAAAGAACAGGTTTGTCCAGAAAGTCCAAGACTGGATTCGTCATCACAAAGTCGAAAACGCGAATATCTCGAATATTTTCATAGGTCTCGAACTTTGGAATTTCATCAAATCTCAGAGTGCGCTTCTCCTCGGACAAGTCTGCTTCACAATTTGGTTGACGTACGCCCAGTTCCTCAGTTTTCACGTAGCGTAGAATTTGAAAAACTTGGGGCGATTTCAAAAACCACGTTTGGTTTGGAGTGGCACTGATCTGGACTTTAGAATTGTCTCGAGTCTATCTATCGTTTCGGATACAGATTTCATATGTCCATGGTTGGCTTCATCTGCAGTCACTATTATAGTTTCCCCAGATTTTTTCCGTCGAGGACACAGACAACGAGACAGCATCGATTGAGGTTCTGAAGAAAAAGAGAATATACAGTGATGAGGGATGTTTGGAATTTAGAAATTCCTAATTTTTTTACCTGGATTTTTTGGCTCTTTTCTAGTTTAGAGGTCCCAAAACAATTTACAGGTCCGAAAAAAAATTAGAGGCCCCAAAATAAAATAGAGGTCCCAAAAAAAATTAGAGGTCCCAAAAAAGTTTAGAGGTCCAAAATTTGAAAACGCACAGATATTGGAATAATGTACTAGTATTTGAAATGTGTGAGTAGTTTCAGTTTTGGGCCTTATAGGATGATATGACTGCTCCTAACAATTTAACTTCCAATTCTCTTGCATCTTGCTGATGAACCACAATTTACATATGAGGAAAATGTCGGCAATACAGTAATGACTCCGTAATTATGCTGTCTCTCAGGCTTAGATAATTGTCAGAAAATATGCATTCCTAAGCCTATTAGAAGTATAAAATATATCATCAACAATTATTTTGCTATAAGACCTCAAAACCTTAAATTCTTACACAATTCACATTCTAGTACATTATTCCAGCATCTGTGCATTTTTAAGTTTTGGACCTCTATTTTTTCTTGTGACCTCTAAACTTTTTTGGGACCTCTAATTTTTTTTCGGACCTCTATTTTTTTTGGGACCTCTAAACTAGAAAAGAGCCGATTTTTTTCGGAACCAAATTCCGATCAGACTACCATATCAACTTTGAGCTCAATCATCTCGATTCCTGTGAAAGATATCAAAAAATTGCCAACTGATAAACTGTTCGTCATAGTATCACCAATACTTTTTCAGTTGATACATTTTCAATATCAATCACAGGAAACGAGATAATTGAGCTCAAATTTGACGGCTTCGGTGGGCTTTTATTAGATGAAGTTTACTTGAAAAAAAAGTCGGAATTTTTCGAAAATCAAATAATTACAAAACTTAAAAAAAACATTTCAAAATTATCAAAAATTACAAAATCGAAATATTCCGAAATTCATAAATTCGAAAATTTCAAATCGTAATGTTCCGAAATTCCGAAAATTTCGAATTCGGAATACGTCGAAAATTTGAAATTCAGAAAATTTAAAAAAAAATAAAATTTTCAAAATTCCTAAATTCCGAAGATTTCAAAACGTTATGTTTCGAAATTCCAAAAACTTGAAAAATCTGAATTTTTCAAAATTTTAAAGTTTCAAAAATCGGAATATTCTGAAATTTAAAAATTACGAAAATTTCAAAAATTTGAAAGATCGGATTTTCTGAAATTCCAATTATTCGAAATCGAAATTTCCGAAACTTTGAAAAAATCAGAATATTTCGAAATTTAAAAACCGGAATATCCCGAAATTACGAAATTCCGAAATTCCAAAAATTTGAAAAATCGGAATTTGCCAAAAATTCGAAAACTTGATATTTTGAAAAATGATTCCAAAATTTTCAAAATTTCAAAATTCCGAAAAATTCCAAAACAGCCATTTCCAACATCCCGATCCTTACCACTTTTCACATCTTTATGAAACTCGAATAGAACGAACGAATCTGCCTTGATTTTCAGGTAAGCCATTTTTGATTTTTGAGAATGAGCTCAAAATCGTGGAAAAATGCATCAATGAACTCTCCGCCATCCATTTTTTTCACAAACTCTACTCCATCATTATAAAGTTTGAAAATCAACCAACTGTTATCATCGGGTGCTTGTTGATAGGATGAAACAAATGAACATCGATCTGCATCATATCCGTTTTTGTCCAAAAACACTTCAACTTTCACATAGAAGTGACCGAGAGTGATTCGAAGTTCCTTCAAATCGTTTATCGGCTTGACGTCATCAATAAAATTTCGGAAGGTTTTACATGTTTTCCGGAGATTGAGACTAAAGGTTTTAAGGTAATAATTTCAGAGTTTTGAAAATTCCAAAAACTACAGTAACCCAAGCTTCCGAAACACACTCACATTGCTAGAAAACCAACATTACCCATAATTTTTGTCATTACTATATGTGGCATATCCATAATTGTGGGTTTCTCATTTTGTTCATTTTTCCTAGAAAACCAATCGAACAAAAACATTGAATTTATGAATTTGGGAGAATATAAAAATTGTTGTGGAATATTTTTTGTCGTTGCAAACTTAATCCACTGAACTAGATTAGTTTCAATGTGAGTTTTGAAAAATTGGAGCAGTTTTTATAACGTGAAACTCTAGAAATTCCAAAACATTGAAATTCCAAAATGAAATTTCCAGAAATTCCCAGACGATATTCAGAAAACCTGAAATATGCAACGTCCAAAACCGAAACAAAAATTCATTCAAAAAGACCAAAAAAGAAAAAAGAGCTCAATATTCTCCATAGAGCACGTTTGCCAAAACAATTTTCATCGATTCATTCGTCATTTCTTCCCAATTCAATGATTTGAAAAGAAAATGAGTATCGATTTCCCATTTCTCCAAATTTTTCATTAATAATTCCAATGAAACCGCCAAAAGGCGATACAAATTGAATTTGATCGCACGTATAGCATATTGAATCGGATAAATTTCATTCGAGAAATTGTCTTCTTCGAAGTCCATTACCAATTGTCTCTCACAGTATGCCAACACGTTTTTGATTGCATAACGATGAGCAATCACGATAACACTCCACAATTTACTATCTGAAAATTATCGATTCATTGATTTTTTTGGTTAAAATGAGTGATTTTCTTACTATCAAGTTTCAATTGAACACCATGAGCAATTTGGAGAAATTTTTCGAAATCTTTAATTTTAATAAAGTATAGCGGAAGTTTGAGAGTGTCCGTTTCATATGGTTCATTGTATATTTTTGACTGGGAATCGTGGAAAAGAATGATCTGAAATTTGAGAAAATTGCAAATTCTGAAAGTGAAGACTCACTTGTTTATGAGAATACAGTTTACTTTTTCCTTTTTCATATGTTATCATGTTTTTCTTCGATTCACCATCAAAAATTTTGCACTTCAAATTGAAATTCCAAATTTCTTGAATTTCATCAAAAATACCATCAAAATGAAATCCATATTCTATTGTCATTGCTCCATTTTCATCCAAAAACCCATTTTTCGAATCCAAAATTTCGGAAAATGGAATTTCTGGACCAAATACCGGGTCCTTTCTTTCCGCGAAAGCCTCGATTTTGAGTTGATTTTCAAAGTTTGGATTTTTACTTAAAATATTCAGAAATATCGGAGTTTTCGGCGGAATTTTTGCAATTTCAGGTGAGCTATCTCCAGCTAATACAGCAATTAGATGAACCGATTTCCTGTTTGAGCAATATTTAAGGCAGATCCCACTGAAAAGAAAATTTGAAGAAGTAACTTTTTTTGAAATTTTACCCTGTAACGTCGTTGACTTCGAATAGAAGTATTGCTGGAGTTTGATCAACAGTTGGAATAGTTTCTGGAACATTTGGAATTTTACAGATTCCGTTATGAGAATCTGAAAACAATTATTTTATGTCACAGTTCCCTAAGACCTAGCAAACTCACATTTGAATCGCTCGCTCATTTTTGTATGAATTTCAAAAGAACAATTTTTTGCAATCAAAATTTTACATTACACGTATTTTTCAAATTTGGAAAAAAAGGACAATGGCACGTGGGTTCAAGCCAATGGGTCAGAAATCGCGCCCCAGTAAACGTGAGATTTTAGAAAAAATTCGCTGCTGAATTATGTGGCTTAGGATCAAACTTTTAAACGTTGCACGAAAAAATCACGCGTTGCAACTCGTTGATTAGAACTAATTAGGTCAAATCCACGTCAACTTGGAAATTATTAAATTTCTTTTGGCCTAAAAGTTATTTGGGGCGCGTTTTTTGACCCGTTGGCTTGAACCCAAGTGCAATGGCCTGAAAATATAAAAACAAAAGTTTATTGATTTTGAAAGACGTGATTATGCAGAGCGTGCAATAATCGATTAAGTAGAGATTTTTTTTAATTTAAAATTCTATGAAATCTCGTTGAACTCCATTCGATTCAAAAACTATTTTTTATGTCATTCCAATCTAAAACCAAATCAAAAATTCATTTAAAAAACCAAAAAAAGAAAAAAGAGTTCAATATTCTCCATAGAGCACGTTTGCCAAAACAATTTTCATCGATTCATTTGTCATTTCTTCTCAATCCAATGATCTAAAAAGAAAATGAATATCGATTTCCCATTTCTCCAAATTTTTCATTAATAATTCCAATGAAACCGCCAAAAGGCGATACAAATTGAATTTGATCGCACGTATAGCATATTGAATCGGATAAATTTCATCCGAGAAATTGTCTTCTTCGAAGTCCATTATCAATTGTCTTTCACAGTATGCCAACACGTTTTTGATTCCATAACGATGAGCAATCACGATAACACTCCACAAATCGCTACCTGAAAATTATAGATTTATTGATTTTTTTTTTGAAAAATGAGTGATTTTCTTACTGTCACTCCACAAATCGCTACCTGAAAATTATAGATTTATTGATTTTTTTTTGAAAAATGAGTGATTTTCTGACTGTCACTCCACAAATCGCTACCTGAAAATTATAGATTTATTGATTTTTTTTTGAAAAATGAGTGATTTTCTTACTGTCACTCCACAAATCGCTACCTGAAAATTATAGATTTATTGATTTTTTTTTTGAAAAATGAGTGATTTTCTTACTGTCAAGTTTCAATTGAACACCATGAGCAATTTGAAGAAATTTCTCGAAATCTTTCATTTCAATGAAGTACAGTGGAAGTTTGAGAGTATCCGTTTCAAGTGTTTCATCATATATTTTTGAATGGGAGTCGTGGAAAAGACTGAGCTGAAATTCCAGAAAATTTCAAATATTTTGAAAATCTGAAAATTTAAAAAAAATCCCGATAGGTACGGAAATCCTGAACACCGGAAAGCTGGAAAAGATTCCTTGAATTTTTTTTTGTAAAGTGGAAAAAATGAAAAAGCTAGGATACTTTTTTGAATCTAGAAAACCAGAAAAAAAACCAAACTTTCAAATTTTTGAAAATTCATAATTTCTAAAAATTTGAAATTTTCAGATAGAAAAATTTCAGAAAAAACTCACTTGTTTATGAGAGAAAAGCTTTTTTTCCCTTTTTCATAAGTTATCATATTTCTCTTCGATTCACCATCAAAAGTTTTGGATTCCAAATTAAATTTCCAAATTTCTTGATTTTCATCTAAAATACCATCAAAATGAAATCCATATTCAATTTTCATTGCTCCATTTTCATCCAAAAACCCATTCTTCGCATTCAAAAGATCCGAAAATGGTATTTCTGGACCATCAACTAAATCACCACGCTTCGAAAAAGTTTCAATTTTGAATTTATTTTTAAGTTTCGGATTTTTGCTCAAAACATTCTAATTATTGGAGTTTTTGCTGTAATTTTCAACATTTCAGATAGCCCAATTTCAGTTAGATAAGCAACGGGATTAACGAATTTCCTTTTGCGTCCGGATGTCCAAAATGATCCATCAAATTCGGGAACTTTAAGAGAATCAACTAGACAGAGCGAGCCGGAAAAATATGAAAAATCGGAAAAAGTGGAATGTCAGGAATGTGGAGCAAAACTTTCCAGAAGAAAGCAAGCTTTGAGAATTCATTTTTTAGATTTTTAGATTTTTAGATTTTTAGATTTTTAGATTCTTATGATTCAAATGTCAACTTTTTAAATGTTTCAAATTAAAAAAAAAGTTTCAAATGTCAACATTGCGAAATTCGGCTCCCTTCTTGGAATTCGTGGCCTACGCATTATAAAAAAGAACATCCTGGTATCGAAATTCCGAAAGCCAAACCTTTTATGTCTCCAGAAGATGAGGAAAAATTCGAAATTTTGGCGAAGAGGTGTTTTCCAGAAATTGAAATTTCAACTAATCCTTTGAATTGCAATCAGTGTGAATTGAAAATTCCAAATACACCAGTATGCAAAAATGAGAATGTTTTTGAGCATCTGGAAATCAAACCGTGAGTTTTTTGAAAAATCTGAAAAAAATTTTAAAATTAAAATTTTCAGATTTAAATGCTCAAAATGTCCTTTTGGTTCTCGAAAAGAACAAAATTTACTAAGCCATATGGATCAATTAAACCATGACGGAGAGCCAATTTTTGAATTGTGAGTTTAATTCAGAAATTCAGAAATTCAGAAATTCAGAAATTCAGAAATTCAGAAATTCAGAAATTCAGAAATTCAGAAATTCAGAAATTCAGAGATTCAGAAATTCAGAAATTCAGAAATTCAGAAATTCAGAAATTCAAAATCGCTGAAATTCAAAAAATCTGGAAAAAAATTAACAATTTTCATTCCAGATCTCAACAAGACAAAGAAAACTGCAAACGGAAGATGAAGGAATGTTTTCCAGAAAACTCTTAAAAAGTCGAATTCGATAATTCTGGAGTTGGAGAAAATTAATTGGATCTTATCACTGAAATAATAATAATTTTCCTTTATATAGTTGATTTTATAAATTCTGAAATAATATTTTTTTTTGTTGATATTTTTTGGGATTATCTAGTTATTTTCTTGTTTTTTTTTGGATTTTTGAGTAAAATATATTCGGATTTTAAAAATTTCCGAAATTTCAAATTTTGAATCTTTAGATTTTGCGAAACCTTCACAAAGAAAGTTATCAAAGAATTTATTAAAAATTCAAACTTCGAAAAAAAAATCATGCGATATTATAAAATTTTGAAAGAACAACAGAAAAACTGAATCAACAATTTTTGGTAATTTTCATTGAAATACGAGGTCCTCCGTCTTCAATTTTGAAATCCAAACATTTTTTGGATTTCGGAATTTGATAACGATGATTGATAGTCCTCAACGGTCCAAATGGAACCTCAACTCCGAGAGCTTTGCCAATTGTTCGAATTTCAAATTGATCTGACAAATCGGCGATACCCAATTGACAAGTTTTGAATTTTTCAAACGAGGAGATGATCTGAAAAATTGGAATAGTTTATTATTTTATTTTTGGATTGGAAAAATTAGCAAAAGTCAGAAACTTGGAATTTTTAAATTAAGGAAATTCGTAAATTCAAAAATTCAAAATTTTTAAAATTTTAAAATTTTACCTACATCTCGAATCTCCCTAAAGTCCTCTTCCGAAAAATCTCCTGACAATTTGATTTTGAAGCTTTTCAAGTGGCTAAAATTTGATAAAATCTCTCCATTAAACCCTTTTAGACTGATAATTTCGACATTTTTTGCTTGTTTGAATTGTTCTGTATCAAAAATTCTTGGCATATTTTCATTATCAGACGACTGTATAGGCCACAAACGAATTGATTCAAGATCTCCTGGTTTTGCAATTGATAAAAGTTGAATCGCATCGTTAACAGTTCCCGAACTGATATCCACATTTTTCGATTTCAAGGAAACTTTCAAAACATCGACAAGTTTGCCTTCACCGTGAGGTCGACCGATTCTCCGGAGACTTCTTAGAATCAGAGTATTCACTTTGAATCCGCCAACGTTCGACAGCTTCTCCAGTTTTCCAAATCCAGAATGTTCAGTCGGATTTTCATTGAATTTCCATTTTACAGTGTTGAGATTATTCCATGCGATTGAGATAGATTCTAAAGTTGGGGGAAGAACATCGGCGACATCTTTCATCGCTCTGTTTACGGATCGAAGAGCAGTTCTGGAAACAAAAAACTATAGATTGGTTTGAAGGAGTTCTGTAAATATTAGTCTCTTGGGAAATTGAACTGATGGGTCCACCGTCAATAAAGGAGCAAAAAAACAGACTGACAACAAACCGAAAATGAACCAAAAACGGACCAAAAACGGACCAAAAACAAGCAGAAGAACGGACAAAAACGGACCAGAAACGAACCAGAAACTGACCAGAAAAGGACAGAAAAAAGGACCAAGAACCAAGGCTGTGAACTCGCGACCGCGGCCGGCCGTGATCGAGGCCGTGGGGTGGTTGCCGTGGAATAATCAGTCCGTTCTTTCGATAATACATTCAGCAACCCAGAAACTACCAGGGCCGCTAGGTCGCCGTATCCTACCTATCCTATAAATACCTTTTCCAAAAACCCGCGGCCGGCCGTGGCACAGCCTTGCCAAGAACTGAGAAGTAACGGACAAAATAAGGTCAAAACGGACCAGAAACGGACCAAAAAATGAAATAAAAAAGAAAAAAAACTGATCAAAAACGTCTTTTTTTGGCTTATTATCAGTTAGTCAGTCCGTTTTTAGTCAGTTATTCATCTTTTTTGATCCACTGGAAAAACGCATTAACAACAAGCCAAAAACAGGCTAAAAACGGCTCTAGCCCGTTTTCGACCTTTTCTCATTATATGTTTACTTCATTTTTGGTCTATTTTTGATTCATTTTGTGATACTTTTTGGATCCATTTTCGGTAATACATTTTAGCCAAAAAAAAACATCGCTTCCGAAATCCCGAAAATTGTTCGGCCCTTCTCCTTAAAAATGCAACTAACCTCTCCACTGGATCCAGATTTCCTGCTATCTTGAGCATCAGTGAAACCGGCATATCCATAATAGTCTTTTTGTTTGACTCTTCATCGGCAATTTTCCTCACCAGCTCAAAATATCGATTAAACCCAAAATTGTTTTCCGGTAACTCCATATCGTACTCCTGTCCTTCTGGAATAACAAAGTCGCCATTTGAATCGAAGGTTAGTTCTCTTGTAGCAACTCCACAAAATTCGTTCAATTCCACGACGTCATTGTCTGGGTTGAATTGAATGACCATGTACATTTTTAGGGGGAAAACTGAAAATTCAAAACTTGAAATATTCAAAAAACTATTAAAATTTGAAATAGACGAAAAATAGCCTCTGAAAAGGTTGAAAACTGAAAAGAATCCGAAATTCAGAAATTCAGAAATTCAAAAATCCAAAAATTCAGAAATTCAGAAATTCAGAAATTCAGAAATTCAGAAATTCAGAAATTCAGAAATTCAGAAATTCAGAAATTCAGAAATTCAGAAATTCAGAAATTCAGAAATTCAGAAATTCAGAAATTCAGAAATTCAGAAATTCAGAAATTCAGAAATTCAGAAATTCAGAAATTCAGAAATTCAGAAATTCAGAAATTCAGAAATTCAGAAATTCAGAAATTCAGAAATTCAGAAATTCAGAAATTCAGAAATTCAGAAATTCAGAAATTCAGAAATTCAGAAATTGAGAAATTGAGAAATTGAGAAATTGAGAAATTGAGAAATTCAGGAATTCAGAAATCAAGAAATTCAGAAATTCAAAAATTCAGAAATTCAGAAATTCAAAAATTCAAAAATTCAAAAATTCAGAAATTCAGAAATTCAAAAATTTTTGTTTTATATTTCCCGGGATTTCCAATTTTCAAAAAAAGGAAAAATAAGCAAACGTTGAATGCTCGCAGTTTTTTGTAAAATAATTCAACAATAGTTTAGAAATTCATCAGGTTTAGAGAAACATGATTAGAACATATAATAAAAGATCAAAGCCAGAAAAGCAATGAAACCACCGATTATATTTCCACTAGATTTCGGCAAACCAGCAACCACATTCTCCTCAATTCCACATTCATTAGTTCCTCTTCGAATTTTGAAAAATCCATTTTCTCCAAAAGTTGTACTCCAAGAATTGGCAACCAGCCAATAATCAACTTTTTTTTCTGTACCCCATCCGATAATTTTCACTGCATGTCCAGACGGTTTATCTCCATAAACATGATAATAGACTCCTGATTTGTAGTGATAAAAGTCATCGTAAACTTGATAAGCAACTTCTACAGGACCATTGTTATAGATTTCGGTTTGAATCATTTGAACTGCATTTGCAACTATAGCGTTGGAAGACGTAGTAGTAGGCAGACGGTAGGCGGATTTGGCTGAAAAAATTCATCGAATTCTGTCTATTTTGAAAAGATACAATCCTTTGGTGTTATCCCCCTTTTTCTAGTATTCATAACTATTTTCAGAATTTCCCGATTTTAATGAATCGTCTAGAGAATAGAAGATTAATATGAATGAAAAAAAAAATTCAAAAATTCAAAAATTCAAAAATTCAAAAATTAAGAAAATTCAAAACTTAAGAAAATTAAAAAAATTCAAAAATTCAAAAATTCAAAAATTCAAAAATTAAGAAAATTCAAAAATTAAGAAAACCGGAAAATTCAAAAATTCAAGAAAATCGGAAAATCTGAAAATCGGAAAAATTCAGGAACTCCGTTTTTATTTCAAATTCTGATTGTTTGATTTCTATGATTCAATTTTCTTTTCCAAAGTTTCTTCCGTACCCATAAACATTCATAACCTTTTCCATAATCCTGATTATGAATCACTAACTTTTGTTCCTCCCATTTTTCTAGTCTTATCAGTTCCCGAAAAAAGGGAAGGATGAAATGCAAGAACTGATAAGAAATAATATAAGAGGGAAGGCAGTTGAAGGAACTTCAGTGTTTCTAACATGATTCGCATTCTGAATTTCGTAAGTTTTCTGAAATTTCCATTGTTGAATTTCCCTTTCTTTAAGGTTGCCCTGGCATCCCTGTCTTATGGATTTGTGGTTCAGGAAGTCCCAAAACGTTCTGTTCTCTCTGGCCAGGCTCTCGTGGATCATGTAAATGCTGTTCAGGATTCGTGGAAAGCAGAATATTCTTCAATTTCAATGAAGGCAAAAACCATGGATGTTCGATTCGCAGAAGTTCCGGAATCCGAAAAATCCGAGAAATCAGATGATTTGGAATTTGAAACTTTGATTCAACTACCAACAGCTTTCGATTCCCGTGTTCAATGGCCCAATTGCAACTCCATCAAACTGATTCGAGACCAAACATATTGTGGATCGTGCTGGGCGTTCGCAGCAGCTGAAATCATCTCTGATCGTATATGCATTCAATCAAATGGAACTCAACAGCCAATCATTTCTCCAGAAGACATTCTGTCCTGTTGTGGATCCTCTTGTAATAACGGATGTCAAGGTGGTTATACAATTGAGGCAATGAAGTACTGGATGAATTCTGGAGTGGTGACTGGTGGAGATTATCAGGGGGCTGGATGTATCCCATACTCATTTCGTCCGTGTTCAACGTGTAAGGAGCCTAAGGATGCTCCGAGTTGTAAGACGACATGTCAGGCGTCATACAAAGGTAATACGTATAAAAGTGACAAGCATTACGGTGAGATTTTATGGTTTTCGAGCGATTGGATAGTCTTGAAGAAAGTTGTAAGAGACGCAGACAAATAGGATGTCTAGCTTCTCTGTGTCTCTTCAAACGTCCACAGCACCCTTCAAAACCCTCAGAACTCGATGAAAATTTCAGTAGATACAAATTAGATCCTGTTTTCTATTTTGTGAGAATTCCATGGGATTCCTACTGTTCTGAAGGGAGTTATGATCGCACGAAGTCGCCGACAACTAGTGTCTTCAGCATTTTTGGTCGTAACTCAATTTAAACCGGTCAGAATTGGATGAAAATTTCATCCGATTTTCATTCATATTAATCTTCTATTCTCTAGACGATTCATTAAAATCGGGAAATTCTGAAAATAGTTATGAATACTAGAAAAAGGGGGATAACACCAAAGGATTGTATCTTTTCAAAATAGACAGAATTCGATGAATTTTTTCAGCCAAATCCGCCTACCGTCTGCCTACTACTACGTCTTCCAACGCTATAGTTGCAAATGCAGTTCAAATGATTCAAACCGAAATCTATAACAATGGTCCTGTAGAAGTTGCTTATCAAGTTTACGATGACTTTTATCACTACAAATCAGGAGTCTATTATCATGTTTATGGAGATAAACCGTCTGGACATGCAGTGAAAATTATCGGATGGGGTACAGAAAAAAAAGTTGATTATTGGCTGGTTGCCAATTCTTGGAGTACAACTTTTGGAGAAAATGGATTTTTCAAAATTCGAAGAGGAACTAATGAATGTGGAATTGAGGAGAATGTGGTTGCTGGTTTGCCGAAATCTAGTGGAAATATAATCGGTGGTTTCATTGCTTTTCTGGCTTTGATCTTTTATTATATGTTCTAATCATGTTTCTCTAAACCTGATGAATTTCTAAACTATTGTTGAATTATTTTACAAAAAACTGCGAGCATTCAACGTTTGCTTATTTTTCCTTTTTTTGAAAATTGGAAATCCCGGGAAATATAAAACAAAAATTTTTGAATTTCTGAATTTCTGAATTTTTGAATTTTTGAATTTTTGAATTTCTGAATTTCTGAATTTTTGAATTTCTGAATTTCTTGATTTCTGAATTCCTGAATTTCTCAATTTCTCAATTTCTCAATTTCTCAATTTCTCAATTTCTCAATTTCTGAATTTCCGAATTTCTGAATTTCTGAATTTCTGAATTTCTGAATTTCTGAATTTCTGAATTTCTGAATTTCTGAATTTCTGAATTTCTGAATTTCTGAATTTCTGAATTTCTGAATTTCTGAATTTCTGAATTTCTGAATTTCTGAATTTCTGAATTTCTGAATTTCTGAATTTCTGAATTTCTGAATTTCTGAATTTCTGAATTTCTGAATTTCTGAATTTCTGAATTTCTGAATTTCTGAATTTCTGAATTTCTGAATTTCTGAATTTCTGAATTTCTGAATTTCTGAATTTCTTGATTGCTTGATTTCTGAATTTCTGAATTTCTGAATTTCTGAATTTCTGAATTTCTGAATTTCCGAATTTCAGAATTTCTGAATTTCAGAATTTCTGAATTTCTGAATTTCTGAATTTCTGAATTTCTGAATTTCTGAATTTCTGAATTTCTGAATTTCTGAATTTCTGAATTTCTGAATTTCAGAATTTCTGAATTTCTGAATTTCTGAATTTCTGAATTTCTGAATTTCTTGATTGCTTGATTTCTGAATTTCTGAATTTCTGAATTTCTGAATTTCTGAATTTCTGAATTTCCGAATTTCAGAATTTCTGAATTTCAGAATTTCTTAATTTTTGAATTTCTGAATTTCTGAATTTCTGAATTTCTGAATTTCTGAATTTCTGAATTTCTGAATTTCTGAATTTTTGAATTTCTGAATTTCTGAATTTCTGAATTTCTGAATTTCTGAATTTCTGAATTTCTGAATTTCTGAATTTCAGAATTTCTGAATTTCTGAATTTCTGAATTTCTGAATTTCTGAATTTCTTGATTGCTTGATTTCTGAATTTCTGAATTTCTGAATTTCTGAATTTCTGAATTTCTGAATTTCCGAATTTCAGAATTTCTGAATTTCAGAATTTCTTAATTTTTGAATTTCTGAATTTCTGAATTTCTGAATTTCTGAATTTCTGAATTTCTGAATTTCTGAATTTCTGAATTTCTGAATT